TGTTGCAGGTGCCTAGAAGGAGTGGGAGGGGAGAGTTGGGAGCATATGATCAAGATGCATTGTTTATATGTATGAAATTGTCAAATAAATAAATAAAAGATATTCTACAAAAATATAATGTAGAGAAGTAATTGAGGAAGACATCCTGATGTCAACTTCTGGCTTCTACACAGCCACACACGCATGGGTGAGTGACCACACACACACACGCACACATATACATACAATCACACACAAAAGTAGGTAGCTAAATAAAAATAAATCAATAAAAGGGAAAATTCTGTTTGTGGATAAGAAGACTCAAGCCAACCAAATGTCAATTCTTTCCAACTTGATCTAGAGTTAGCATAATCTCAATCAAAGTCCTAGCAAGTTATTTTGCAGATACTAGCTTTAGAAGATGATTCCAAAGTTTATATAAAAAATAAAAGACCCACAGTAGCCAACACAACCATTGATGGAAAGAACAAAGCTAGAGGATCAATACTACCTAATCCTAAGACTTACTCTAAAGCTGCAGTAATCAGCAATGTGGTATTAATAAAAGAACAATATATCAATGGCAAAGAATATAGAGCCCAGAAAGAGACCTTCATATGGTCAAATGCTCTTTGAAAAGGAGCAAAAACAAAGACAAATACTGAATGTTTTCTCCCATATGTCAAACCTAAATTTAAAATTATATGTATGTGTTCATATATGTGTGTTTGTAGGTCATAAAAGTAGAAGGGAGGGGGAGGAAGAGATCTTTTTTTAATTTTTTTATTATTTTTATGTGTATTTTATGTGTGTATTGCCTGCATTTAGGTAAGTGCACCTGTGATGTGCAATGCCTTCGGAGGACAGAACAGGCTGTCGGATCCCCTGGGACTGGAGTTACAGACAGCTGTTAGCTGCCATGTGGGTGCTGTGATTTGAACCCGGGTCTTCTGCAAGAACCACCAGTGTTCTTAACCGCTGAGTCATCTCTCCAGCCCCGGAGGAAGAGACCTTAATGGAGGCAGGAAAGAGAGAGGGTAACGGGATGCATGCAATAGAAAGTGGAAGGGGGATGAGCTGGGGAGGGATCCAGCTGGAGGTGGAGAGGGGCAGCAGGGACAGCAGTTGGGGAGGAGGACAATGGAGAACAAAGAATAATGACATGTACTGTGAAGATAGGGTGGAATCCATTACTTTGGGAGCAAAAGCAATAAAAAGAAGATGGGGCTGGAAAGATGGCTCAGCAGTTAAGAGCACTCAGCACCCAGATGGTGGCTAACACTTGTCCTAACTCCAGTTCCAGGGGATATGATGCCCTCATTTGGCCTCTGTGGGCACCAGCATGCATGTGGTACTTACATACATGAAGGCAAAACACTCATACACATATACTATTAACAATTTTTAAAGCTTTTATTTTATTTTATTTTTTTTTTTTTTGAGACAGGGTCTCCCTGTAGCCCCAAGCTGTCCTGGAACTCACTATGTAGACCAGGCTGGCCTTGAACTCACAGAGATCCACCTGCCTCTGCCTCCGAAGTGCTGGGATTAAAGGCATGCGTCACCACGCCTGGCCAATTTATTTTTAATATTAACTAAAAACCTAAAATATTTTTTAATTAAAAAATTTTAAAAGGAGACAATCCTTCAAAAATTGGTGCTTGAATAACTTGGATATCACATGCAAAAAGAAAAAAAATATAGAGAGAATGAAAAACATGAATGACAGACCCTACACTATCAAAAGCAGTTCAACAGATCACAGATCTAAATGTAAAATGCAAAACTGCCCCATTTCACCAGTGAAACTAAGGCCCAGATTAGAAAATAGGTGGTTACACAGCTAGTAGTAGAACATAGAGCGACTGGTGGAAACCCAGAGGTACTGACAACAGGGTCAGAGAAGATTCAAGGGCCCAGGGTGGGTTTTGAGAGCAACTAGAAAACAAAGCACATGTTGTCCAATGCCTTCTGGGAGTTCCTGTACCACAACATCAAAGAGCTGGAAGTGCCCCTGATGTGTAGCAAATCTTAACTGTATTGAGATCGGGCATGATTCCTCCAAGAATGCAGAGCCATCCTGGAAAGAGCAGCCTGGCTCTTAAGTTACCAATCCCAACACCAGGCTGCACAGAGAAGAAAATGAACAGATGGCTCACATGCACACTTTGTTTTTGCTTAAATGAAACCACAAAAACTGCCTCCTCACCAAATGTATAAAGCACTCTGGGAGGCAGGAGGATCCAGAGTTCTAGGGTAAAACTCCCTCAAGGGGAGTTCTAGGTTAGCAAGGGTTCTATAGTGAGAAGCTCTCAAAACAGAGAACATGCAAGGTATAGATACCACTCCCTACAGTAAGCTTTAAATCCAGTGCAAGTGCTGTCCAACAGAATTACAACGTGAAGGGCTGGAGAAATGGTTCAGTGGTTAAGAGTACTTGCTACTCTTGCAGAGGACCTGAAGAGGACTGGGTTTGGTTCCCAGTATCCACATGGCAGGTCACAACTGTAACTCAGTTCCATGAGATCCAATGTCCTCTTCTAGCCTCCATAGCACTGCACATGTGGTATACTTACATAAATACAGGCAAAACACTCACACTCATACACATTAAAAAAAAAAAAGTGTGAGTCAAGCATACAGGCTCATATTTTCCAGTTGCCACATTTTCAAAGAAATAAAGACCACACAGGTGAGAGTGACTCCAAAAATATATTTTATTTAACCCAATATTTCAAAAATCATTTCAGCAGGTAAGTGGAATACAAGTACTATTAAAGAGAAGTTTTACAGTCTGGGGGAGGAGTAGAGACTTGCCATTGTGCATTTTTCACTTAGAGCACCTCTCAGTTCAGACTGGCCACATTTCCAGTGCTCAGAAGCCACAGATGGTTATTGATGACAGCACTGGACAGCATAGGGCTGGAGGAAAGTCAGACATAGATAAGATTCTCCAGTCAAAATGTTCACTCAGCATCACTGGAGGCATTGAAACTTCCTAAGCCTTTCCAATTCCCAAACCCGTTTATTCTGCCAAGACAGAATAAAGACAAAGGGGCTTCACCTTGTTTGAAACGGTGGAATCTTAGTTGGTCTCAGAACACCAAGCTTTGTTTGGTCCACCTTTGATAAAGTTCATCCTTTCACTCAAAATATCCCTCCTCATCTTTCATTTTCCAGCTCAGTTTATGGCTTTATTGCCTAGCAGCTCACTTCAATCATCTTTGTTTCATCAGTACCTGAGTATTTAAAATGTAAATGATTTTCAAGCATGCATCTTTTTCTCCTCCCAAGGCCACTTTGATCTCTCACATCTATGATAGTCTGTTACCTTGCTTTAGGTAACAGGTCTCTCCCCTGACCAGTTTCAACCATAATTATTATTCCCTCGGTCCTCCATAGCGTTCTTTCCCTACGGAATAAAGGCAAAATTCTATCACATAGCATAGAACTCATTGCTTACCGAACAAAGCCCAATTGTTTGCCCTTCCTACTGTGAACTCACCTTCTGAGCTCGGTACTCTTTAGTAGTAAAAATAGCCATTTCAAACTCATAAAGCAGACTTGAGGTTTAGAAGCGACACTGTCCTAAACGAAATATAATCAAAGGCCAGTCTCCTCGTCGCTCCTTTACACTTTATAACTTCCATTCTACTTACAGCCTCTTTTCAATTCAGCAAAACTTAATACTCATGTGCTAGGCACTGCCGAAACACGGGGCAGAGAATACGGGAAATACAGGTGGAACGACTCTTTCCTTCCTCGAGCTCTTGGCAACACAGTTAAGCAATCAGTATCTTTAAGGACTAGACTGTCTCTAAACTGAAAAATTCTAGGACGTTCAGACCCAGGCAGCCCAAGGATACCCAGACGCAAGGCCCCAGTACAAACTCCAAAGGGCGGAACTAGAGGACGACACACGTGGTGGCGGGAGGGGGCGGGATCCAGTGGCACAGGTCCGGCCTCAGCTACTGCGCCTGCGCGCGGTCTCCAGCTCAAGGACCCGTATTTAAAGAGACAGGCGTTCTAGTCATCGAGTGCGGCTTGCGGCCTTGTAGGCTCCTGGTCGGGGACCTGTGCTGGGCACCGGAGCAGGGGAAGCCGGGAAGGCAGGTGAGCAGCGGCGCGGTGGGGCGGGGAGAGCCGGGATCCAGGCCGAGCGCCGGGTGGCTGGAGAGGCCGCGGCTCCTCCCCCGCCCGCCGGCCAGCCTGGGGGCACACCCTCCGTGACGTGGCGGACCCCGGGGAGCCCACGGGAGGCCCGTGGCCACCCGGGCTCCGCGCCCGCGCTCGAGTGGGCGTCCTTCTAGGGAGTCGGGGCGCCTCACCGTCCCTCCCTGCCGCATCACTCCCTGGCCGTGGCTCGCCGGCAGAGCCTGCCGGGAGGACGACTCGGGCCTAGGCTTCCCTCCGCGGCGCGATGCCTCCGGAGCCTTGTCCCCGCCAGTCCGCTGTCGTTATTGACCTATCCCGCGCTGGAGGCTGCTGTCCATCCACTTGTAATCTACGGAAAGTTGAAATCCGACTTGTTCCCGGCTCCTCCGACGGCCGGCCGCCCCTCACTCGCCTGTCTGATTCATAAACTCTAAGCTTCGTGTGACCCTTTGTGAGTCTCTCAGTTACGGAGCTTCTCCAAGTCGCACGTAGTCAAATGTTCACATTTGTATACATTTTCCGGGTGTTCAGAACTCCACCACCAGCCGGTCCGCGTCTGGTTTGTAATTTTCCTAACCACCCTCAGAAGTAGTTCTAATTCTAACCCTGTCTTTGTTTTTTCTACAAGGTCCGCGGTAGACCAGACCCACCCCGAGCTCCTCCAGAGTGCTGATTAGAGGCGTGAGCCACCCTTAGGTCTAGCTCCTAATCGTTTTAAAAATAAACTGGGCCGCCTGTGGTGGCGTACACCTTTAGTAGCTGCTCTCTAAAGGCAGAGGCAGTTGTGAGATCGAGACCAGCCTGGGGCTACAGGGAAACCCTGTCAAAAACACCGATGACGATGATGATGATGATGATAAAACTGAAGCTTATCAGCTTATCTCTGTCCTCCCAGCACTTAGGGGTGGGGAGGCAAGAGGATCAGGAGTTCAGGATAAGCCTTGGTTACATGGCAAATTTGCAAAAATAGTCAGGGGTTGCTATTTCTCCCGGATAGGTGGGCAGGTTACACTGTAGTGACCAAAGCCTGCTATAACATAATAGCAGTTCTACATCTCAGCAGTGGGAAGACTAAACATAGATTCCAATATATTGGAAATTAAAACTGTAAAGCTGCTTTAGAAATTATAAACACAGGAAGGGGTGGATATAATAGTTTCCACTTGGATTGATTCATCAATTCCTTTGATTCTTGCAGTCCAGTCATTTCAACTTTCTCCATTTCAAGTTGCTGAATTAAACAAGCTAATTACATATAGTGAGTGAGGTTTCCCTTAAAGGTTAAGTACTTAACTCATTATAAGAGCTAACACACACTGAGCTCTTGCTGAGTGCTCAACTCTGTTCTAAGGATGTTAACAGCTAACCCTTGAATTGGGCTCTTCTATTAGCTACATTTTTACACACAAGAACTCAGTAACAGAGATAAAGGGACCAACCAATATCACAGAGCTAATAAATGACTAAGCTAGGATTTTGAACTCAGGCTGTGGGTTTGATTATAGGCTCTGTTTAGTTGCCTTTCTCAACAGGGCTGTTGAAATCACAAATCTGTGTCCTGGCTAATTGTTTTCTGAGGATGGCATATGTGTTATATTTCACATTAAAACTATAAATGTAATGTGATTTTTCTTGGTGATTAAAATGAAACTTTGGGATGTTACTAATACTTAAAGGTCATCATTCATTATACATATCACATATTATTGATGGCCCCCAAAAAACTTTTATGATATTTGGATTCTTTTTCTATTCATTGTAATTTCCTAGATATATTTGTGTACATTAGGTGATTGAATGCCCTTCTAGAAACTGGATTTTCCTGTATTGGAACTCTACTTCAGCCTAGGCAGTACATGTTTAAGGTACTGGGAAGTGTGTGATTTGTCAGTGTGGACTGTATGAGGTTCTGGCCTTGGAGAAATTAGAAGCCTGGCTTCTCATGTATGCCTTTTTTTCTTTTGTCTGTCTCCCACCCTTTCCTGCAGCTATATGTCTTTGGCTTTCAGGATCCTCTTTCCGCAAAACCTTCGTGCACTTGGCCAAAAAGAACTCCACCTGTTCCAAGAACAATATCACCAGCCTGCCATAAGACAGTTCAGTCATTGGTCACAAACAGATCCACTTCGTGCTCCCTGCCTCCTCCAGAGAAGAAAGCCCTTGTCATTCCAAGGACACCATCTAAGATCACGTGCCACCCGCCTTGTTTTCTTGTCTTGGTCGCATGTGGGACTCTGCAGTGGCCCCTCTGAGATGGCCGAGCAGAGGTTCTGTGTGGACTATGCCAAGCGGGGCACAGCTGGCTGCAAAAAATGTAAGGAGAAGATTGTGAAGGGTGTATGCCGCATTGGCAAAGTGGTGCCCAATCCCTTCTCGGAGTCCGGAGGCGATATGAAAGAGTGGTACCACATTAAATGCATGTTTGAGAAACTGGAACGCGCACGGGCCACCACAAAAAAAATCGAAGATCTTACAGAGCTGGAAGGCTGGGAAGAGCTGGAAGATAATGAAAAGGAGCAGATCACCCAGCACATTGCAGGTGAGGCGGAGAACACAGCCTTCTCAGCTTGCTAGTGCTGATAGAAAAGCTCTGAGGAGAGTACACGCTAGTATTTTTTCCCTTTGCACTTTTTGTTTGGAAATAATTTCAAATTCACAGAAGAGCCAAGTGTGGTGGCACACACCTTTAGTCCCAGCACTTGGGAGACAGAGGCAGGCAGAGCTCTGTATTCAAGGCCAGCCTGGTCTAAATAGTGAGTTCCAGGTCAGCTGCAGCTACAGGGAGACCCTGTCTCAAAAAGACCAAAAAAAAAAAAAAAAAAAATTCACAAAAGAGTTAAAGAAGAAAAATAGTGCCAAGAATACTCATGTTCTCTTTACCCAGATTTCCCTGTTGTTAAGAGTTGATTTGCTTTATCCTTTATGTTCATGTGCTAAAATCTACATACACAGGCTTTTTATTTGAGCCATTTGAGAGAAGATTGCATACATCAGGCCCTTTAGGTACTTAAGCATGTCTGTTTTGATAATAGGATTTTCTTACACAATCATAATGTACCTGTCAACCTCAGTGAGTTTTTCCTTGATATAATACTTTCTTGTCTATAGTGTATTTTGGGTGTTGCATTTGCTTGCTGTGTCTCTTTGGCCTCCTTTAATCTGGAAAATTTCCAGAGTCTTTTTTAAAAATTTGACAGTGTTCTTGCCATATAGCATGGGCAGGCCTCAAACTTGCAGCAATCCCCCTGCCTCTGCTTTCCAAGTATTGAGATTACAGGAATGTGTATGGCTATGTCCTAGTGCTCCATGATCTTTTAGGATCTTGATATTTTTAAAAAATAGACACTACTCTTAACTGTCAGTTTGTTATCTGTATGGACTCATGAATTACTTGTTTTTTCCAGGGACTCATGATTCATTTTTTTTTTAATTTTGTATATTATTTTTTTTTAATGTGTATGTGTATATTGCCTGCATGTTGGTAAGTGCACCCATGTCGTGCAGTGCCCGCGGAGGTCAGAAGAGTCTGTCGGATCCTCTGGGACTAGAGTTACGGACAGTTGTTAGCTGCCATGTGGGTGCTGGAATTCGAACCTGGATCTTCTGCAAGAACAACCAGTGTTCTTAGCCCCATGATTCATTATCTTAATTTTTTTTTTTTTTTTTTTTGTCTTTTTGATACAGGGTCTCCCTGTATACCCAATTGGCCTAGAACTCGCTATGTAGACCAGGCTGGCCTTGAACTCACAAAGATCTACCAGCCTCTGCCTTCCAAGTGCTGGGATTGAAGTCCTGTGCCACCACGTCTGGATCTATCTTAATTTTCTTAATTTGGTACTTACTTGTCCCATACTTGACCAGCTAGCAGTCCCTTTGGCCTGGCTTCTATATCATGTATATCATCTTGTTTCTCTCTCTCTCTCTCTCTCTCTCTCTCTCTCTCTCTATTTATCTTGGCAGGCCTTTTTTAACAGGACTCCTCTCTTCTCTCTCTCTCTCTCTCTCTCTCTCTCTCTCTCTCTCTCTCTCTCTCCACTGACCTTAAACTCTTGGTCTTTCTGCCTCAACCTCCCAAGCACTGGGATTACAAGTATCTGTCATCCATGCCTGTCACATTTTTTTCTTTAAGAAGTTCAATCCCAGCACTTGGGAGGCAGAGGCTGGCAGATCTCTGTGAGGCCAGCCTGGTCTACATAGGGAATTCCAGGCCAGCCAGGGATACATAGCGAAACCCTGTCTCAAAAAAACAAAACAAAAAAATGTGACTACAGAGGGCATGGTGGCTTACAGTTTTAATCCTAGCAGGTGGATCTCTGAGTTCGTGACTAGCCTGGTCTACACAGTGAGTTCCAGGGTAGCCAGATAAGTGATACCCTGTCTTCAAAGAGAGATAAAGAATGAGACTGAGATGACTGTTTTCCCCTAAATCCTATTACTTTCAAAAATTCTTGTATGTGGGATAAGAGGTAGAGAATATTGATGAAATTTAAATTACTAATAGAGGCAAATAGTCCTCTTCTCAGTTCCCTTTTACCTCTCCTCCTTCCACTGAAAAATACTAGCTAGCCTTGGGAGGATTTAGCAAGCAAGCTCTGAGAGCATCGGTCGAGTCTTCAGAAGCTTCTTCAGTAGTCTTTCTGAAGGATTTTTCTGTTCTTTTCGGATCCCACAGATCTGTGTTGTAAGGCAGCAAACACACCAAAGAAGAAAGCTGTTGTCCAGGCTAAGTTGACAGCCACTGGCCAGGTGACATCCCCAGTGAAAGGTGCTTCGTTTGTTACCAATACCAATCCCCGGAAATTTTCTGGCTTTTCAGGTAAGATGGGTTCTGGCTGCTTTTGCTGTTAAGGTCCTCTTTTATTGGGTATCTGATTTAGGGCTCTGTGTCAGTACATGGCTTCTGTCTGGGCGGAGTCAGGTCATGGCTAATTCTCCACGCTCTACTTGTACAGCATTTCTTTGTGTACTTTAATCTGTTGTAGCAGGAACACGTTGGTTTTGTCAAGAAGTTTTCCACTTGAAGTTATTACCTGGGTCAAAAAGTGTTTTCTAACCTGCTCTTTATTTACTTCCTTGTGTTTTGTAATGAAAGAATTCTGATACATTGTTTCCCCAAACTTGCCTGAATTGGAGATGAAAGTGTAGGAGGAGGAAAGGTCATGCATGGAACATTGCCTTTGATTTCTCTTGATAGTTCACTGCATATGTTCTAAAGGTTGATATGTGGAGGGGCAGGGGGGGCGGGGCTGGGGGTCGGTTGTGAAGCCAGAAGGAAGATCTGAAGGGTATTGCATTTCGTTTGGAGGCAGTAGAGCCTAATGATGAAGCAGGTGGATTTTGGAATTAATGGGCTCTGTATTCAGATCCTGTCTCTTATTTATGTCTTGGCAGGATAGACAAACAGTAAAGTATTATGTTTGCTGTCTTTCTTTTTACTGGATATTTTTGAACATGCACACATGTATAGTGTTTCTTTTATGTAACAGTTACCATTCATAGATAGTGATTCAGTAAGATTTTGCTACAACCTAGGCTGAAGATGGGATTTGAGAAAATAATTTGTTACCTTGAGCATTGGCCTAAGGACTTTTATTTGTTCTTCAGTTAACCTGAGGAAATACTTTTATTATATTCATTTTCATCTATGAGAACTCTGAAGTTCAGGTTCATAATGGAGTTAATATTGCTTGAAGTCTGTTTGACTCCAGTACTGTGTTCTTTTACTCTATACCCTGTATTCTGTTTTATTGTTTGTGACATAATAGTGACTGACTCAGTTGAAGAAAATAATAAAACCCAACCCTTCAGGCCTGAGTGAGTAGTTTGGAGGTTCAAAGAAGCCTAGACCTAAAGTCAGAAGAGTTAGGGTTCAATTCGTGCTTTACAGATTGGAGCAAATCTTCAACTATCTGAGCTTTGTCTGTAAATCCAGAGTGACAACATCTGCCCATCAGTCCTGTCAATTGGCGCCTCATTCTATTACTTTTTTGCTACGTGGTTTTTTATTTTTATTTTATTTATTTTATTTTATTTTTTTTTTGTCTTTTTGAGACAGGGTCTCCCTGTAGTCCTAGCTGACCTGAACTCACTATGTAGACCAGGCTGGCCTTGAACTCACAGAGATCTGCCTGCCTCTGCCTCCCGAGTGTTGGGACTGAAGGTGTACGCCACCATGCCTGGCTATTTTATTTATTTTTTAAAACAGGATCTCACTATGTAGCCTTGGCTAGCCTGGAACTTGCTTTGTAGACCAGGCTAGCCTTGAACTCACAGAGATCTGCCTGTCTCTGCCTCCTGAATGCTGAGATTAAAGGCATGTGCTACCACATCTGGCTGTTTTGTTTGTTTAAGAGAGAGGATCTTCCTAAGTAGCCCATGCTGGTCTAGAACTTAAGGTCCTCCTGCCTCAGTCTCCCAGGTGCAAGAGTAGAGGCATGTGCCACCACCCCTGGCAGTTTTTACTTTCTTTTTTTTTTTGGTCTTTTTGAGACAGAGTCTCCCTATAGCCCCAAGTTGGCCTGGAACTCACTACGTAGACCAGGCTGGCCTTGAACTAAACAAAGATCCTCCTGCCTCTGCCTCTCAAGTGTCGGGACTAAAGGCATATGCCACTATGCCCAGCTAGTTTTTATTATTTTCAAACGCTGAGATTTGTTTCTTGTTTTGGCAGTGGACTAAAAATAGAAATGCAGGAGAGTCTAGTGACAATAAAGGTATGATTCTGGAAGGGCCCTGGTCTTGGGCCTGGAGTTTAGGAAGAGGGGAGTGGGGTACTGTCATTCTTGCAACCTGGCTGAATATAGGTGCTTTGGAGATTTTTGTTGTCACCCAGTCCCCATCCCCCATCTGATTCAGATTCCTGGTCAGACATGATGACAGATTTACAGTTTATAAAACTCAAACAAGAAGCCTCTATCAGCAGCCAGCTTGCTTTGGTTTTGTAAATAATTATAAAGAGGTGAGAGGGAATCACTAAGGAGTTGAACCTAATTCTAGGTGTCTGGGAGGAAAACACTGCTTGTTGATTGCAATTTATTTTGGCAAAAAGAAAAGACAGTCTGGAGTTGTGAGGAGAGGGAATGTTGGGAATGTACCGGTGGGACCTAACTTTCTTGCTGGCATCCCTGTATTGGCTCTGCTACCAACGAGGTGATGATCTTGAAAGTTATCTGTTCTTGGGCCTCAGACTCCTCGTCAGTTAGATGTGTTGGGCTTCTGCCAGCTTTGATAACCTGTGACTGCAGTAATTTCAAATTGACTAACATGTCCTTTGATTTCTTCTCTCTTTCTCATCTCAGCTCTTCTGGGATTGACTTTACAGTTGCTCTGAGATCTACTCGATGGTTCTTGGCATAAAAGCTGCCTTTGTTCCAGTGTGAGATGCTCACATAAACAGATGTTCATCTGTCTGATCTTCAGGCAGTGAGATTTGGGGAAATTACTTGACCTCTATTTCTTTACCCGTGATATGGATTTAGTATATCTCCAGAGACTTTTTGGGCTTTTAAGTGAGACTACATGTACATGTAAACTACATGTAAAGCACCAGCAAAATGCATTGGTTTTTGTCCTTTTTATGCTTCCCCACAAGGCAAAATAAATCATCTGTGATGTTTCTCTTCCAACAGCCAAGCCCAACAACTCTGAGCAAGCCCCCTCCAGCCCTACATGTAAGACAAGTCTTTCTGCGCGCAAGTGTGACCCCAAGCACAAGGATTGCCTGCTACGTGAGTTCCGGAAGCTGTGTGCTACCGTGGCTGATAACCCTAGCTACAACACAAAGACACAGATCATCCAGGACTTCTTGCGGAAAGGCTCAGCAGGAGGTAGGGCTGTGGGCATCCTAAGTTGACTTTTCTTCCTCCGAAAAGCTCAGAGGCAGGGCCAGCTTCATGGGCACAAGATGTTGCTGTCTTGAAGTTCTTGAAATTGGACCCCACAGTTGCAGTTATCACCAGACCCTACAAGTTCCATAGTCAGTTCTGCTCAGAGTACTTTGACATCTTTCTTCAATTACCCTTGTTTTGTCCTCAGGAGGCAGATGAACCCACTCCATTTGACAGAGAAATTCACTACTCTTATGTGTAATTAGGTGAACCACATACATGCCCAGCGTAAAGTCCTTTCATAGATCTAGCAAATTTTCACTGACTACTGTAATGTGCTTGTCACTGAGGACATGAAATAAAAGTCAGGACTCTGCCAGTGAAAGCTCATGGGCTAAAAGTGAGGCAGACACAGACTAGAGCTGCTGGCTACTACTAACTATGGTAGTGCATGTAGGAGGCTGTGGGAAACAGTCGCCACTTCTTTGAATGTTTATCTGTTGTTTGTCTGTTTTGATACACAGCCTCCTTATAGCCAGGCTAAACTTAAGGTTTACCTTCTAAGTGCTGGAAGAAAAGGTGTGGGCCACATGCCCAACCCTAAGCTGCCTGGCCCTAAGCTCCATTCCTTAAAAGAGGTCCCTTTCTTTTGTCTCCAGATGGCTTCCATGGTGATGTGTACCTGACAGTGAAGCTGCTGCTGCCAGGAGTCATTAAGAGCGTTTACAACTTGAATGATAAGCAGATTGTGAAGCTTTTCAGCCGCATTTTTAACTGCAACCCAGATGATATGGCCCGCGACCTAGAGCAGGTCAGAGGGAGGGGGCAGGGAGGCCACATTCTGGGTGGGACTCTGCTAGGACAGCCACAAGCAGCGTTTTTTTTCTTTTTTTGTCTTTTTGAGACAGGGTCTCCCTGTAGCCCCAGCTGTCTTGGAACTCACTGTGTAGACCAGGCTGGCCTTGAACTCACAGAGATCTGCCTGCCTCTGCCTCCTGAGTGCTGAGATTAAAGGTGTGTATCACCACGCCTGGCTTTTAAAAAAAAAAAACAAAACCAAAAAACAATTGAGCACATACTGTTTTTAAAATGAAAACTTAATTCAACAAGGTTCTGATAGGCAGAGAAACGGAATGTGAGGCCATAGCTGTTAATTTCAGAAGTCTGAGGATTGAAAGCACACCACTGCCAAGCCACTGAAGTCCTTACTGAAAAGTCAAGGTTTAAGATTCCTTCTGTTTTTCTCCTGGAGCAGTTCTGGATTTTTTTTTCCTTTTTCTTTTTTCTTTGATTCTTGCTTGCCTTCTCCCTCTCTATTTGGGTTTACCATTCAGCTTTGGTTTGCTCATGACTCCGGCCTCGGCACTATGGACAGTTTCCATCTAAGCATCCCTACTGTCCAGTAACTATCTTTGTCTCTTAGTTCTATTTTTTTTTAATTTATTTAAAATTTTTTCTTGAGAATTTCATCCAAGAGTACAGTATTTACATCATTTCTACCCCTTGCTCTCCCCGCTCCACCTCCTCCTGTGTCACCGCCCCACTCTCAATTTCATGACCTCTTCTTTAATTATTGTTACATACATACAAACACACACACACAACCTGAGTCCATTTTCAGTGGTGCTCATGTACATATGTTTAGAGTTGACTGCTTAGGATTAGATAACCTTTCAGGGAGTTCTTCCTTGGAGAAATAGATTCTCCCTTGCTCATCAGCCATTGATTTTAGTTCTTATCCAGCGGTGGGACCCTGTGAAGTTGCCCCCATCTACATTGGCATGTCAGCTGGTTTTGTCATTATGCAGGTCTTGTTTAGGCAGTCATATTGGGATTCCATGGGTGCAGCTTCCCTGTCATGTCTAGAAGATATAATCTAGGAGCAGGCGTCCTGGTCCTCTGGCTCTTAGGCTCTTTTTGCCCCCTCTTCCAAGACTTTCTCTGAGCCTGAAGTGCGTGGATTAATTCAAATTCTTAAACAGGAATCCAGTTGGCTGGGCCTTGGATTAGTGCTGTGTCCCAAGGCAAGTGGGCAGCCCTATGTGGGTTGATGGGCCCCTTCTAGGAACTGTGGATGGGACAGAGTTCCCAAGAAGGACTTGGGCAAGGAGCTGGGACTGAACTCTTCATTCATCTTTAGCCCTGAGATCTTAGGGAATGCATCTGAGCTCCCTGGGGTTGCAGCAGTGGCATTTTGGTTTTTGGAGACAGGGTGACGTGTCAGAGACAATCAGAGTCTTCTTTGAGCAGAGCAAGTCTTTTCCCCCAGCTGCCAAGAGCCTCCTCACCATTCAGGAAGTGGATGAATTCCTCCTGCACCTCTCCAGGCTCACAAAAGAGGATGAGCAACAGCAGGCCCTGCAGGACATTGCCTCCAGGTGGGGGAGCTGCCCGATTCAAACCAAACCCAGTGAGGGTGGGCATAGGGAGATGGATTGCCTTGGGAAGGAAGATTTGAGGACAGAGTTCTTAGAGATCAAGTTGAATATGCCTCATCATCTTAGGTGTACAGCCAATGACCTTAAGTGCATCATCCGGTTGATCAAACATGATCTGAAGATGAACTCGGGTGCAAAACATGTGTAAGTATCATCTCTCCTGGCAGCCTGAGCTGTCAGCTTCCTTTGTTCCCTGCTGCTCTCGGGACTCTGTTATAAAGCCGAATCTTCATTCTGCTTTGTTATTTCCTGTGGGACCTTAATCAGCCTCCACACCCATTGTCTCAGAAGGAAAGTGGAGATAACTATCCTTCTCACAGAGCTATTAACATTGAGAGTTTAGAATATGCTAGGTAAGTATGGGATGAGTCTTGCCCATTCCCAGCCCCTCCTGCTAGAGGTGCATCCACACAGGCACAAAAATCTCAAAGTCCTGAAATTGTTTCTTCTGTGCCAGCCTTTTGAGTCCAACCTTTTGATAGTATGGCATCCTTCAAATTTCATGCTCGAGAACCGTGTGATCAAGTTGCAAAAAAAAAAATCTCATAATGTTTAAGTAAATTTACCATTTTGTGTTGGGTCATATTCATAGCTATCCTCCACTGCATGTAGCTCTAGCACATGTTGGACTTGTCTGTAGGTTAGACGATAAAACATGCCTACTTCCCTAGGATTGCTCCTCTCTCTTGACAGACCCAAAGCCATGATGTCAGATACAGAGGATTTTTTTTTTTTTCTTGCTTCTGTTTCCCTCCCCCCCCCGACCTTCCCGGGCAGGTTAGATGCCCTTGACCCCAATGCTTATGAAGCCTTCAAAGCCTCACGAAACCTACAGGATGTGGTGGAACGGGTACTTCACAATGAGCAGGCGGAGGAGAAGGACCCAGGCCAGCGACGGGCTCTGAGTGTCCAAGCCTCATTGATGACACCTGTGCAGCCCATGCTGGTGAGGCATATTGCCCTGCCCCTGCTGTCTGTGTGTCTCCAAGTTGTGCGTCCCTGGGCTGGAATCTCAGAAGGAATGGAAAATGAAAGCTCTTTCTGGTTGCCTAGAGAAGTGTGGGAAGAAAGAGTGGAAATGCAGCAGAGCTGTGCTGGGCAGAGAAGTGCAGGGACAGAAGGCAGGTAATCTGCAGTGACCTGAGTCTGGGGTCCAGTGCGGCACCAAAAACTATAGAGTTTTAGCTGAGTCACTCAACCTCTCTTGGTCTTTAGTTTCCTTGTGGGTGTGGCCTAGTAGACTGAAGCATCTACCTAGGGTGGTTTATCATCACATTTAAAGACAGGGCTATATTCTGGAACCCCCCGAGGCTTTGTGACCTGCTTCGGGTTAGCTCAGAGTTGGCAGCAGAGCCAGGCTTCTATGACAAGGTGACTTGGAGAGGGAGAGGAAACTCAAGGGATGAAGAATCACTGCAATAGATAATTTGACTTTCCCTTCTGGTTTTCCTATGTCCAGAACCCACTGGGTCTGTTGGTGTGCCAGCTACTGTGCAGTCTTTGGGCCTTCCAGGGGTGTGCTCAGAATGTAGGCTAGCCAGTGCCAAAATAGTGTGATCTCCATGTCAGGGTCAGGTACTCTAGGCACCTGAAGAAGCAGCTTTTGGATTTCTGTAGGAGGACTTCCTGTAGTCTTCTCCACAGTCTCATTTGAAGAATGGCATGGGTTACATAGCTTAGTGGTTTAAAACCCAGGCTTTGAAGGTGGGCGTAGACTTTAAGTGCCTAATCTCTCTGACCTTTAGGTTCCTCAGCCATAAATTGAAATCAGCAACATTTGTCATTTAAGATAGCACATCAAAGACAAAATGAGGTTATGTTTGTGGCCTGACAAGAACACCAAAATAGTAGTTATTGTTTGGGTCAGGCTGGCGCTAGTATGTGAATGAGCATGACTGGATGTCCTGTCCTATCAGTCCCTGATCGTAGTCACCTTGCTAGCCTCACTGTCGCTTGCACTCTTCAGCTGAGATAACCAGTATATTAATAAGCCAGAGGCCCTGAAAAAACCTAAGGGGAAAAAAAAAAAATCTTAGTAGAATTATATTTATTCTAGAATGACCAGCATCCATCTTTTTCAAACTGCAACCTGCTATATCAGCTCTGCTGATGAGTTGCTCTTTTTGTTGGTTTGAGACAGTCTTGCTCTGTAGCCCAGGATATCTAGGGACACTTTGACAGCCAGAATACAGAATTGCCCAGGCTTTTCTATTCCCATTCAGCAGCCTGCCCTGAGCCTAAATTTGGACATTGAGTTCTAGAACCCATTCTTTCCTGACTAGCCCATTGCCAAGCTCTGCTAAGTAGCCCCTTGTTGGAGGGCTCTAGCTCTTGCTTTTTCTACCCCAAGGCAGAGGCCTGCAAGTCCATTGAGTATGCGATGAAGAAATGTCCAAACGGCATGTTCTCTGAAATCAAGTATGATGGTGAGCGAGTCCAGGTACATAAGAACGGGGACCACTTCAGCTACTTCAGCCGTAGTCTCAAGCCTGTCCTGCCTCACAAGGTAATAAATAGCCCTTCAGCCATGACTTTCTCCTTCCTGCCTCTAGGAATCTCAGGGCCAGAATTCCAGGGCCTTTCTAACTGCTTCACAATACGGAATTTGTTTTATGTCAGTTATGTGATTGGATAAATTTATTCCTGGACTCTACCAGTAACGAAGGGTCATTCAGCAGGGACAGCTAAAGATCCCAGACTTGAGTCAGTCAGGACAGGACAGAGCTCCTTGGATCAGTGTTTCTATGTCTCCCATGTTCCTTCTAAGCTAGATTAAGGTTCATGAGACTGTTTGGCTGTCATACATTAGTATGTTCAACAGATACTTATCAAATGCTATGTACTGTTGTAGCCAGTGGGCATATAGGAGTGGGAAAAAAAGGACAAAAGTTCTGTCCATCATGAAGCTTATTGTCTGATAAATGCACAATACTGTGGGTGCATCTGGTAACCCAGATTCGTGCCCTAATCAGGGTCAAGGGGCAGTGAGAACCTTATTCTTTAGCCCTTCTTAGTTCCTAGGGCCAGTCCTTTGGGAGAGAAGTGCTGGAGTGTCTGGCTCTGGTAGCTTCTGTGTAAATGGAAATCCTGGCTTTGTTATCCACTTCTTTCCTAGCTCTGACTCAGTTTCTCAGAGTTGGGGGTTGGGAGATACGTTTTATGGTCCTGTAGGGATGAGGTACTCAGGCCACTTGCTTTAGGTGTTCAGCAGGAGAGCTGAATGATGGCCTCATATGGAGGCCTTCAAGTGAAGATTCACTTGTTCTCTGGGGCACTGTGAAACTGATCAGAAACTGCAGTGTGAGGTTAGTGTTACTGTATTGTAACCCAGAAACATTTGAAGATAGCTTTCCAGAATGTATTCTTTCCCTTTCCAAGTTTGCTTGTCCCTTGCTCTTTCCTGGGCCACTTGTCCCATCTCTTTCACATACCTCTCACACACCTGCCCTCAGTACTGAGGACTGAACCTAGGGTCTTGCACACTCTTGGGAAGCAACTTTTCAACTAAGCTGTAACTTCAGCCCATGATCTATTGGTTGTTAAAGGGCTGGGTTGGGGACTGAAAGGTGTAGGATAGATGGATAGGTTTTTTCTCATCCTACTCCATATTCTAGGCCACGACCACCTGTATGCTGCACCCAGGTGAGGAATTGGGCCACAACCAGGCTCTCTAGACTCCCCTGCTGGTATCCTTTAACAGAGAATGCTTGGGGTTGCAATGGGGCCTCTTCCACTGAGCTGTCAGTATTAGGGCTCTGCCTGTATCAGGAAAAACCCAAGTCCAAGCATCTGCTCTTACTCTGAAGATGGCTAGGGGTTCAGAGCCCTCCACTTAGAGAAGACCCTGCTCACATTTCCTTGCTGCTCCTACAGTGTTCATTTCTGCCTTCTTTACAACCAGTCTATTTTTCCCTGTCCCAGTCAACCTCTCAGCCTGGTAACACTGATCTTTTACAGTATGCACTAGCCCAAACATACTTCCTTTCTCCTTGCCCCTGATGTTTTCTACCTCCACCTCTTCCCCTTTATGCTCACTCTGTTTCTTCCTTTTTACTCTAAACTGGTGCCTTCTTTATAGCCCAAAGAAAGTGACTCAGCATGGTCTGATCTCTTCCTGGGTCTGGACAGAGGTAATGAAGCAGATGACCTGTTTGTCTTGCCCAGAGGGCTGACACAGCCTAGCTATGCATTTCATGTACTTACCAGGCTTCCACATGTTTATATTGCTTCTGGAGTCTAGGCTTGAACTCTGTGGCTTGGTTTTTGGGTCTTAGCTGCCTGGTCATCTCTTTGTCTTTTTCTAGGTGGCTCACTTTAAGGACTACATCCCCCAGGCTTTTCCTGGGGGCCATAGCATGATCTTGGACTCCGAGGTGCTCCTGATTGACAACAACACAGGCAAACCACTGCCCTTTGGGACTCTGGGGGTGCACAAGGTATTGGCTTAGAGCTATATGTACAAAAATGTGTGTGTGTGTGTGTGTGTGTGTGTGTGTGTGTGTGTGTGTGTATTGCGCACTCAATCTGAAAAGTGGGAGAATATATTATATATTACTTAGGATAGGGCCTATTCTTGTTGGCTTTTTTCCCTCATAAAGGAGGGAAAGGTACATACATAAAGGTATTGTATTAGGAACCAATTTAGAATTGAGTTGATGTCCGTTCAACACCGTGTTATTTTTCCATCACTGTAACAAAATACCTAAGATAACTAACTTATAAAGAGGAAACTTTGTTTTGGTTTAAGGTTCTAGAGGTTCTAATCCAAGACTGTAAGAACCCATTGCTTTGCTAATAAGGCAGTACATCATGGCTGGAACATGTGGCAGAGCAAAGCACTCACACTTTGAGCCAGGGAGCACAGAGAGAGGGGAAAGAACCAGTCCCACAACATCCTTTAGGAGCATGCCACTATTGACCCAAGGCTCTCCCTCACCTCACCACCCTGGGGACCAGGCCTTTAAGACTAGGGCCTTTGGGAGACATTGAGATCTGACAAAGCACTGTCTGCTGAAGGCCCAGGGCCCAAGTGCTTCAGAGCAAGATAGGACTTGTCCATCAGGGGCTGCAGAGAGCCTCCAAAAGTGGACTGCTAACTCCCCCTTTTCATGCCTTCATGTACCTGCTGCCTCATTTTCCTTTACAGAAAGCTGCCTTCCAGGATGCTAATGTCTGCCTGTTTGTTTTTGATTGTATCTACTTTAATGATGTCAGCTTGATGGACAGGTGAGTTAGGTAACATTTTTTTAAATTAATTTATTTTCATCTTTTCCAGTGCTGGAGATTAAATGCAGGGCTTTATGTGTGTTAAGCCTGTGGTCTACCATTGAATCCCACTTTTATCCCTGGCTGATATCTTTAACCCAGGGTCTGTTTTCACTGGGGATTTATCTGGATTAGGGCTATTGGGGGGTTCAGTTGAGGAGCTAGGAGTGGGGCTAGTATTTGTGTTTTGTGTCCATTAGCTTGTAGAGGATGCTGTGGGTGGGGCTATCTTGAGGAGAACTAGTCTAGAACGAGCTACATCTAAAGGCTTGGGCCCACACAGCCAATATTGGCCCTTTCTGCACTTAGGAATGTCTCCCTAATCTATAGCTGCCACATCCTTGATTGTGGAAAGAAGTAGAAAGAATTGATGGGGTAGGAGTTGGGGTTTGGGCCCCTGTGTCAGCCTGTTCCCCCAGAGGCCAGCCAGCCTTGAGGTTAGGGTTAAGCAGAGTATAGGGCCTTGGGGTTAGAGTAGAGCAGGGTGTGGGGCATTAGCAACAAAAGTTGTAGCATTATTCAAATGAGACCAGAAGTTGTACAGTCTGGGCTAGGGGCCAGTTCTCCCTTGGCTAAATAAAATAAAAAGTATCGCTAAGAACTGGCTATGTGCCACAGCTCATGGTTGTCTGTCTTTGGTGTTGATGGAGCCCTTGCAGCGCTTGACAACAGAATTGTTAATATGAGAGCTTTAATCTATGACTGTCCTCCTGAAGCAGTCATTCTATCATTGGGTCCCTTTCTGTGTCAGAATTCCTGACAGGAGTAGGAAGATCTTTCCCTCAGCTCTGCTGTCCCCCTTAGGCCTTTGTGTGAGCGGCGGAAGTTTCTTCATGACAACATGGTTGAAATCCCTAACCGGATCATGTTCTCAGAAATGAAGCGAGTCACAGTAAGTGAAGTCTCTGTCCTAGATAGGGATCTAGTGGTTTGATTTTAGAGCAGAGAACCCCTGGGCGTGTGAGAGAACGAGCATTAGCTGCTCTTCTGTGGGGTGCTGGTATGTTTGCCTTTGACAGATACGTTACCTATTAGTCTTCACCCTGCAGGGTGGGCATGAAAGTCCTTCCTAGGTAAGTACCCCATGACTCAAAGCCACAGAGAGCTCCCCTGGTTTGCAACCTCTTATAGCCATATTAAGATGTGCTAGTGTACAGAAATGAACACCATCTCTATTCTCACATAGTCTTGAACATCTCTCTTGTTGTTCCTCAGAAAGCCTCAGACTTGGCGGACATGATAAATCGGGTGATCCGGGAGGGTTTGGAAGGGCTGGTGCTGAAGGATGTGAAGGTAAGGTGACCAGGGACCCTTTGTTCTGCTGGAGATGACAGTGGCATTGGAGGTGGTTGTGGGGAGAGCTGAGTAGGATCTACTCAGCTGGGGCAGGCCATTACTGGATATAGGGGTGGTTTATGTGTCTCCTGTAGTGCCTAGACACTGATCTGGTCCACAGTGGTGAAAAAAATGAATCCCACCCTCATAGACTTCCCCATTCTTTTGTGATCTCTCTCTCACGTTCCCTCAGGGTACATACGAACCTGGGAAGCGGCACTGGCTGAAAGTTAAGAAAGATTATTTAAATGAAGGGGCCATGGCTGACACAGCTGATCTGGTGGTTCTTGGGGCCTTCTACGGGCAAGGAAGCAAAGGTCAGTGGCATCTAGTGCCTATAGTGGTTCTTTGTTGGAAGGCACACATGAAGTATGAACTGGCCTTCTTAATAGCTTCATCTGCCAGTGTGGCCTGTTGTGGCTTCCTAGGTCCTGGGATCTGGGGCCCCAACCTGGCCCTGGTCATGTCAGGCAAGGATGTGGGAATTATGGATCTGGACACAAGTCGGGCAAGAAGAGTTGGTGGGATGACTCAATGGGTAAAGGCACTTGCCACCAAGCCTGGTGACCTAAGTTTGATCAAACCCCAGGACCCACTTGGTGAAAGGAGAGAACTGGCTACTGCAAGTTGTCCTTTGACTTTCACACATACACTGTAGCATGTGTGAGCACTATAGCATGCGCACATACACATGTATACATAGACAATGTAAAAAAACAATAATAAGAAAAAAATAAAAAGTTAGGCAAGAATACTTTGTGCTGTCCTGGTATAAGGAAGCTCACAACCAGCTATTTCAAGTTCTGATAGCTTTCTCCTCAAAGAAAATCTGTTTCTTCACTGGAGAGGAAGATACCTCTGAGGAACAAATATACAGGCAATCTCCTCTGTGTCAGGCACTGTCCAGTTTCTCAGAGCTCAGCAGTTTAATGTGATTATTTCTAATCTTTAAAAAGGGAATCAGGGCTCATAAAGGTTAAAATACACACAAAAGGGTGAACTCAGTGGGAAACCATTTGCCTAGTATATGCAAGAACCTGAATTCATCTTCAGCACCACCACCAAGAAAAAAAAATCAGAGCTAGTTAGAGGTAGGCCCAGGAGGCAGATTCAGACACTCTGATGCCAAGGCTCAGGCCCTTTCTTTTCCACCAGACAGCCTATCATGGGCTGGCAGAGATGGTACCCTCTAGCCCACATTCAGTTCATGTTCCTCTCCCAGGCGGCATGATGTCCATCTTCCTCATGGGCTGCTATGACCCTAGTAGCCAGAAGTGGTGCACCGTCACAAAGTGTGCTGGAGGCCATGATGATGCCACACTTGCCCGCCTGCAAAAGGAGCTAGATATGGTGAAGATCAGCAAGGTAAAGAAGGCACTTGGTTGACGTTGCCCTGGGATAGACCATCATTACTGAGCCACAGGCTCAGTATTGTGCTTAGGAGGGGGCTGGAAACTGTAGGTATCCTTTTTTTGTCCATGAAAGGAGCTTGCTTCTTGGCTGTGGAAGCAGGAGTAGGCTTTTAAATCTCAGAGTGCCTGCCTTGTGAACAATGGCCCATGTTCCATGGCACCAGCCCCTGTGGATAGGGAGGGTCACTTGGGGGAAGGGGGTCTGCGTTTTTAGCTAAGCTACATTTCACAGTCTCATTGCCAAAGAAGGGGTTTAAGCCTTTCGAACATAACAACAGCTCAGAACAGCATCTTTTCTCCTCTAGGATCCTAGCAAGATACCCAGTTGGCTGAAGATCAATAAGATCTACTATCCTGACTTTATTGTTCCGGACCCAAAGGTATCAATCTGATGGCTCCAACCCCCAGAATTAGTTTGTAGTTCCTCTATTTATCCCAGCTTTAGTGAAGGTCCACTGAAGGTGGGCTCTGGATACTCAGCCAAATGACAGGCATAGGGCTGACCAGCCAGCACCGAACTCATCCTCAGTAGAGAATTCCCAGGCCTTCTTAAACTGACAGATTCTGGGAAGAGGCAGGCTGGCACCCATGCCTCCCCGCTGCCAGCCAAAACCCCTGTGGTTTAATCTGTTCACTGTTGTATCTGGCTGCTGGAGGATGTTTCCTTCTTGGCTGGAGATGACCTGCCTGGCTTCTTCCTGACAGAAGGCTGCTGTGTGGGAGATCACAGGGGCAGAATTCTCCAAATCTGAGGCTCACACTGCTGATGGGATCTCCATACGATTTCCACGCTGCACCAGAATCCGGGACGATAAGGACTGGAAATCTGCAACTAACCTCCCCCAACTCAAGGTGCTAGCTCTTGGGCTTCCTGTGTGTCCACCCCAGTGTCTTGGCTTTGGAACCTTGGACATCTGACCTATTCATATGTCATTTGCTGCTTGTCTCCATTCCAGAGACAGAACAAGGAGGAGGGTTAAAGACAGGAAACTGGTGCCTGGCTGGGAGCAGCAGCTCTGGCCTCTACCTTCCAGTTTGCTTTCATCAGTTCCCCTGATGTCTAGCTTCCCATAGCCTTTTTAGGAGAGGTTGTCTCGGGCTACAGTCCTACACTACTCATTAAGAACTAAGGTTCAGGGGGCTGGAGAGATGGCTCAGTGGTGAAGAGCACTGGCTACTCTTGCAGAGGACCCAGGTTCGATTCCCAGCACTCACATGGTAGCTAATAGTCATCCATAATGCCAGTTCCAGGGGATCCGATGGCCTCTTCTGTCCTCTGAGGGCACTGCATGACACCAGTGCACTTACATACATGGAGGCAATACACTCATACACATAAAATAAAAACAGTAAACAAAATATTTAAAAAAACAAGGGCCTGGAGAGATGACTCAGTGGTTAAGAGCACTGCTTGTCTTGCAGAGGACTCGGGTTGGGTTCCCAGCACCCACATGGTGGCTAACAGTCATCTATAATTCCAGTTCCAGGGGATCCGACACCCTCTATGCATGCAGATAAAACACTTATACACATAAAATTAAAATTTACAGCTGGGTGTGATGGTACACACCTTTAATCCCAGCACCTAGGAGGCAGAGGCAGGCAGAGCTCTGTGAGTTCAATGAGGTCAGCTTGGTCTACATAGTGAATTCTAGGCCAGCTGGGGCTACAGGAAGACCCTGCCTCAAAAAGACCAAAAAAAAAAAAAAAATTTTTTTTAAATAAGAGCCAAGGTTCAGCTGGGCATATCTGTAATACCAGCACTGGAGAGGATGAACCAGGAAAATCATGAGTTCAAAGCAGCCTGGACCTCTCAAAAACCTTGAAGGGCTAGAGAAGGTGATTTGTGCCCTGATTACTCCTATGCCACTTATTGGAAAAAGATGGATGGAACTCTGCTCTTTGTCTTTCTTACCACTTTGCTCCCTGGCTGCATGTGCCAAAACCAGGCCTGCCCACCCCAACACAAAAGCCAGTTTGGAAAGGGAAGGATTGCACCTGACCTCTCCCTGCTTCTCAGGAGCTGTACCAGCTGTCCAAGGAGAAGGCAGACTTCACCGTAGTGGCCGGAGATGAAGGGAGCTCCACTACTGGAGGCAGCAGTGGTGAGAATGAGGGCACTGTTGGGTCTGCTGTGCCCCGCAAGGCCCCCAAAGCACTCCCCAATAAGTCCTCTGCCAGTGCCAAGCCTGAACGGAAGCCGAATAACCCCAGCAGCAAAGGCGGTAAGGGAGAGGAGGGGCTGAGGTGATGGAGAGGGCTGTGGGTGGGGCAGAGATGGCAGGACATAGACTTCTCACATTCTGGCTCTGAGGTCTTGTGATTATCTGTGTCCACTATAGCTGACATTAAGTGTATTCCTGGCATATAACTAGCCGTGGGCCAGAAACTTCTGCCAGGTACCCCATATCTACTCAGCAAATCTCAATGAGCTAGTACCCTGGGAGAGCCAACCTGACTGGGGAATGAGCCACTTTGAGCTAAAGGCTTTAGTTGATACCTTTTCTCCCTTCTACTCATGCAGAGGAAGAGCCTGATCCATCTCTTCATTTCTGGTGACTTCAGGGGCTATTAACCCCTGTCCTTACCCTTAGTTCTTATACTTTGTTTTCGGTTTTCTTTAATTTGGTTTTTTGATGCAGGGTCTGATGTAGGCCAGGTTGGCCTTTTACTCACTATATATCCCAGAGTGACTATGCGCTGATCCTTCCCCCTCTCCACCTTCCGTGTGCTGGGATGATAGGCAAGCTCCAGCACAGCCAGTTTATGTAGTGCTGGAGAATTGAACCTAGGGCCTCACGTATTAGGCAAGCACTCTATTAACTGAGCCACATCCCTTATCCTCTTAGTTTTCACCCTGACTTCTGTTGTCCTGCAGGCAACAAGCAGACTATAAATCCTTCCTTTGTAAAACCTGGAGAGAAGCTGGCCATGAAGTCCCCAGTAAAAGTGGGGGTGAAGAGGAAAGCTACTGCTGAGACTCCAGGCCCAAGAAAGGTGCAAGTAAGAATAGCAGTGCATTGGGCAGGCTAGTTTGACCCAGTTCTAATCTCCTGCATGTGAACTTCAGAAGCTGTCCATGTGGGTTTTTGGGGGAACAGAAACTGAAGCCCTTTCCTCATTTCAGCTAGCTCTTCCTATTTGCAGGCAGGCCAGCAGTGCTGCTGCTCCACCCTGTGCCCTCTTGTTGCCTTGCAGAGGCAGCAGGCCAGCCAGCAGAGAGGAAGGAGAGCTGTGCCAAGAGGCAGGACATAGAGCCCGGCCTGGCAAGAGACTGCAGGGGCCCATCCAGCTGCCAGTCTCCAGTCACAGCTCACATTAAAGAGTGAAGCCCAGTCTGGGTGTGGGGTACAGCAGTGTACTTGTGGTCAATGGGGAGCAGGTCTACCCAAGGAGAAGCAGAGTGGCATGGCATAGATTCCTCCTCCCAGCTGAGAACCCTTTCTTTTATAATCAATTTTCAGTCCTTGGTTTGGCCATATCTAGTGAGTGCCTGCTGAGGCTAGGAACTAGCTTAGTCTGGCTTAGTCTGGGCAGCTGCTGACCCACACGGCAAATGGACAAACGTGATCACTACAGAGCGATTGCACCCCTGCCCAAGAGTAAGCACAAAAGTTGACATCTCGGGGGTTGGAGAGATGGCTCAGTGGTTAAGAACACTGACTGTTCTTGCAGAAGACCTGGGTTCGAATCCCAGCACCCACATGGCAGCTAACAACTGTCTGTAACTCCAGTTTCAGGGGATCCGACAGCCTCTTCTGTCCTCTACGGGCATTGAATGACACAGGTGCGCTTACCTACATTCAGGCAATGCACACATACACATAAAATAAAAATAATAAATAAAACAAACAAACAAAAAGTTGACATCTCAGGGTCTGAACCCAGGTACCATCAGAAACCTTTCCCATCTCTCTTCCTTGCCCAAAGCCGTTGAACTCAACCCGTGATGAGCAAGACTTGTAGGCCTTCTGTCTAGCTAGCTGTGCAGAACAGGCTGTGTTGATCTTCAGGGGATATCAGTGAGTCAGAGGATATTTTATCTGGAACCACTGGATGGCTTAGACATCATCCGTGTCCTGGTGTTAAAAGTTGGTGCCCATCACTTCTTTTTCTCTTAGTATGGGATGGGAGAACATGCCAGTCTTGGATCAGTTAGAGTTATTGGCGGATGGGTTAGCATTGCTTTTTTCTCTAGTAAACTCACTTGCTCTATCCGAAATCTAGGTTCCTTGCATCTTTAGCTATTTTCTGTCCTCTCACTCTGTCCTGTACTCATCTGGTCCTAGTGCAGCACTGATCCTACCTGGACCCCTCTGTTTGCAGGTGCTGTTGGATGTCTTCACTGGGGTACGGCTCTACTTACCACCCTCCACACCAGACTTCAGCCGTCTCAGACGCTATTTTGTGGCATTCGATGGGGACCTGGTGCAAGAATTTGACACAGCCTCAGCCACACATGTGCTGGGTAGCAGAGAGAAGAACCCTGATGCCCAGCTAGTCTCCCCAGAGTGGATTTGGGCCTGTATCCGGAAACGGAGACTGATAGCTCCCTGCTAGGACTGTGGTCTTCCTTCCTCTTTGGGTCATCCTCTTCTGTGAATTCCACTGCACAAGCTCAGCCTTGAGGAGGGTAGATGGTGGAGACCTTCTTTGCTAAGCAGTGATCTTCTACAACCTTCTAACTCTTCCCAGGTCTGTTCTGAACCAGGAGTTAGTTGCTGTGGGTACAAGTGAAATCAGATTCTCTTGCTGGTTTATCTAGATCTTTCAGGTCTGGGTGCTGGCTTTGTCTTTTTTTTTTAAATTTATAAAGAAGGTGACCTTAGTAATTGGAAGTGCTAACCAACCTAGACCTTTATGCATGCTAGTCAAGTGTTCTGCCACTGAGTTCTAATTTTTATAAACAAGAAATCTTAAGCCAGGCATAATACTACATGACTGTAATCCCAGCATGCAGGAGGAAAAGGCTGGCCTAGGGAGTACGTGAGATCCTGTCTTTTTTCGTGTGTCTTTTTGAGACGGGGTCTCCCTGTAGCTCCAGCTGACCTGGAACTCACTGTGTAGACCAGGCTGGACTCGAACTTAGAGAGATCCGCCTGCCTCTGCCTCCCGAGTGCTGGGATTAGAGATCCTGTCTTATGGGGAAAGAAAGGGTCTGTCCTGTTCCCTACCAGTTCCCCCTAGTTCCCCTCAGTGACTAAGGAATGCAGACTGGGCAGAATCCCCTCCCATTGCCTGCTTCTTTTTACTTCCACTTGTATCTTAAAAGTGCTATTTAAGATTGCCCTCAAATGTTTCTTCTATTTGTTAAAACTTGTATTCTGCCTGTCCCTTTTTGCCAGGGTGAACCCTCATTTGAAAGAGAACAAAATGGACTTTGATGACTTTAGTCTCCATGTTCTCTGTCCCGGGGCGGGGGGTGGGGGGTGTCCCAGCTTGAAGGGAAAGGCTGGCATCTATAGAAAAAGTAGCCTATAGGTAGAAGAGTGAGGTTATTTGTACAATATAGAGATAGAGAGGCTCCAGGAAGGTAGATCTGCCTCTTCAAAATCTGGATTGCTCTCAGGAATACAGATCCATATGCAAGGACAAATCTACATGCCCTGCTTACACAGGTAGCACCTGCACTGCCTGTGGCTGACTTGAACGAAAGGAAAACAATTTGTAGAGACAAGTGCACCTAGAAATTCATGTATTTTTGCAACAGTGGAAGTATCCTGGAAGTCTAGGCTGATGAGTAGTTGAACTAGCCTCATCTGGCTGTTAAAGTGCTTGAAATGTAACTAATGTGATTGAGGAACTAAAGTTCTCATTTTAACATGCCTTCAAATGGTCCCAAGTGAACAGTGACCATCACACATCTGAGCATCGTGGAATTGGGAGAGGCACTGCTCCTGAATCACTCACTGGTTGGCTGTCAGTAATCTCAGAGAAGCACGAGGCACATAAATAACCTGGTACAGTTCACGGAAAACTGGGAACATTGCCATTGGTGGGCTTATCCAGTTCTCATTTGGGACAAGAGCACTGACTTACCACCTCAATCCACAACTGTATGTTAGAGCTCATGCTCAGCTCTGAGCAGTCTTATCTGGGTACCATGTCCATGCTGTGCCAGCCCTTGAAGCTCAGCTCTCTTCATTCCTAATGAATCAGCGGGTTTGTCTGTCTCCTGTGAGTTGCGTATGACTGAACCTTTTAAAAGTATCTGTGCCTGTAAGATACAGAGGGCCACACTGACTACCCCATAAACCCCTACTGGGAAGTTTCTTGCTAGTCTGACTTTGATTTTCACCTACTGTTTAAAATATGGTGGGGAGAGAGACAGTAGGTGTATGTATTTCTGCTGGCTAGTACAGGACATTTGGTGTGACACCAAGACACTTTTTAATCTGTCCTCAAGGCAAAAGCTACTTCTGCTTTGGGCACTTGCCTGCATAGAATTCCATCGCTGTCTACTTGGGCCAAGCAGCTGGGCCGAACAGTTTTAGAAGGCTCTCTCTAAGACAGGGTTATAATGTCAGGCCCCTGTCCTTTTAATGTTTATTAGCTCCAATACACTGTAGCAAGTTTTTGTATTTTTTCTTCTTTCTGACATTTTCCTTTGTGATGCTTAGACTGTATAGACAACTTTGTCTTTCCGCCCAACCCTTAAGCAGCAGCATCCTAAACCTATGAAGGCTGGACACCTTCCCTCTTTAGCCTTTCTTTACATGCTGCCAGCTGTGACAGGCACTACTCGTTACTGGATGCAGAACAGGACAGCTATCAGAAAGATTCCGTCCTCCTAAGATATAGGGCAAAGTCCTGTGTCATCTCTTTTCTTCCAGAGTGACACAGTCCCCTCAGGCACTTGTTCAGGTAAATATGTACAGGCCTGTGCTCACACTGCAGTTTGCCCTTAAGGCTGAGTCAACGTTTGAACCACACTCTGTACCACAGCTATATTCAAAAGCTACTGTCTATCTCCCAGGGTAACCTGAAAACTTGCTATCCTAGTTGCCCTAAGATTCTTTTAATTTAGGTCTTGAGGCCTCTTCTATATTGGAATAATATAAATACCTTAACTCATTTGGTGCTTCCCATTTGGTACTGTGAATCATCCCTTTCTTAGTAGCTCCCCTTCTCTTCTAGAAGTCTCTTCCATGATTTCTTCCCCCACACTAACTTGTGAGATCTTGAGTAGGTCACACTGGGCAGGGATATCCTGACCAAGACCAGATAGCCTAAGCATCTCCAAAAATGGAGGCCAATCTCTGAAGAGCAACGTGGCCTCAGTCTGCCTATGTCTACCCGTTCTTGTATCAAACCCTCATGCCTTTGCCATCATCCCCTCACCAAATGGGACAGGTGTCTATATTGAAACTTTATTACAAAATTATAAAGCAGAGCTCTGTAACAAAAAAATACATTTGGGTCTCCTTTTTAACACCCAGGTAAGTCAAGAGATTCTTAATATAAGCCACTTGAAACAACACATTTGCATCCAAGAGATTTTAACAGATTTATACAATATATATTGAACACTAATTCCTTGATAGCTTATTAGTTTAGAACCAGCTATTTCAACATATGAACCAGTCAGCTGTCCAAGTCTTAAAACAATTTTCAACTGAAATCTTGGCGCAATCACAGCAAAATCCATAGAATTGCAAAGATTAGATGTTTCAACAATAAAAGGTTCTATGAGGGACAGAAGGGGAGTCAGGTTTTCTACCTGCACTAGATGTTAACTGGAATGGGATCCTGGAATCCCAACTTTTATTTGGTGTAATTAAAAAATGGGGGAAAAAATCGGGATGTTTGAGACCTGTTTCTTTCCAAAGGAGAACCTTCACCAAAAGGTTCAAAGGCAAGTTCTTTCTTCAAAATAAGTAAATGACACCAGTTCTGATTGTAAACTTAGGTTACTAATCAGCCATCAGTGTATTTTCTATTCCTGTCTAGGAGGTAGGAGAGGTAAGGTCTCAGCAGAGAAAGCAAGTTGTGAGGAAGGAAAGCCAGCTTTGAGGTTATTGCTAGATCTTTCTGAGCTGTATAATCAGACCTGTTTCACAGTGGAGTCCAGTAGTAGTAGAATCAGTGAGCCATTGCTAAATTGATGATAGGCACTAAGCTACAGTGCTTACTGTTGGGTAGAGGGGAAAGGCAGTCTTTGTGGGAAAATCTGATTCCCCAACTCCTAAAAAAGGCTTTAATCCAAAATCGAATTATCTGGTTTGTAATGCTGAGGCCCAGGGTTTCTCTGACAAAATTATTTGATCTCCTGAAAGTATTTAATGGTTAATGATGGAGGAGAAGTGTAAGTACTTCTAATAGTCCACCTTGGAAGTTTCCCTCTGCCTTCTAGAGTCATTAGTTCTAGAGCTCAGCTGCACAGTGATGGGTAGTGCCCTCGTATTTAGGGTGCATCCCACTGGTAATTGGGACATACACAGCTCCTCTGAGCATCTGTTTTGTGCTTTGTTGAGCTGTTCCAGCAAATGCTAAAAAGGCTTGGAAACTTCATGACTAAAGATCCAAATGCTTCATCCTAATCTCCTAAAACAACAGACTGAGAAAGACATGGAAGGACTTCCAGCTGTAATGAGCACAAACCAGCCTCATTCAGCACGGTTTAGTGCTGCCTCATTACACTACCCTACACTAGTCTGTTCTCTGGAAACTCCATGAAGTCAGGGTGGAGAACAAGGCTCTAAGTTCCGTGCCTTCAGTCAAACTAAGTTTAAAACCTCAATGGGAAAGGATGGAAAACTTTATTGAAAGAATTTGTAAGACTTTGCCTGTTGGAAAACAAGGATGAAGAGCCAAAAGATGGTGCAAAGTCAAGCTCCAGAACAAAAGTAGCAGAGATGACCCATGCACTATTCCTTGCCCATGTAAGGCTACCGATCCAAATTCTGTCGTAAGGAGTACTATTGGTCCGATTAATATTTTTGGTCCATAGAAACAAATGGATTTTAGGCAATGCAGCAGACTTTAAATGTATGTTAAAGCACAGAGCCAGAGAGACCAGAAATTTAAATCCAAATGTGCTGGGGATGAATGGAACCACTTCTAGCAGAACTTCTGATCTGATGAGGCAAGACGAATAGTGTACAGGATGGGTGAAATGTGTCTAGGCTCTCAGGAAGTGAGGAAGACATGGTCCAAGTTCTGCAAAGTCATCTGTTCATTGATCACTATTGCCATCCCATGATCACAGAAACAGGCACTCACGCATGGAATCTGTACAGTTCCTACTGGCCTCAGGCTCTGCCAGCCAAGAGGTGTACCCCATGGCAAGACAGGCATGTCCGGCAACTTTGCCCTGGTCTTGAGAACGCTGCCAGTTTCTTCCAATAGCCTGCCCTTCCACATGGACCAACCCTGAGCCCAGACACCTTGGGCTATATCCTGTAAGGCACTGAAGAAGCTGATGCAGGCCTCAGGACCGGAAGACGTGCACCGCCCGGATCACATATTGCCGGCAGATGGGACATTCATTCATGCGTTTGCCACACTTGGTACAGGTCACCATGTGGCCACACTCCAGCAGAACACAGTCAATAGGCGAGTCCATGCAGATCTTACACAGGTTCTCCTCCAGGCCAGAAGACACTGTTCCTCCTAGACAAGCAAGGCAGAAAGGGACAAAGGAATATATCTTAGGGGAAAAAGGGGGTAACCAAACCATCTCTAGTTGCTTATTTAACCCTGAGATAGGTTTGACACCTTTAACCCCATCACTGGGGAGGCAGAGGCATGTGGGTCTCTGTGAATTTGAGGCCAATGTGGTCTACATAGCAAGTTCCTGACCAGCTGGGGCTGCAGAGAGACCCTGTCCCATAAAGACCAAAAAACAACAAAAAAAGATAACAGGTTTGGAGAACACTTGCAAATCAAAAATAATTTTCGGAGAATTGAGGCTATAATATAGTGACTAAGTGGTACTTAGGGACGACTCATCCCAAGGTAGGACTTGCAGAAAAGATAAAACTGGTTTAGAAAGATTTGTATATAAACAGGACTGTAATGAATGGTTCCTTAAGAATCATAAGGCTTATCTATAAATGTAATCCCGATTTAATAAAGCTGAGGAGCATGGGGACCCCTGTCCTAGCCCACAATCTAACTCTAGGCTTCCTTTGAAAAGACTTGAGGGAGGAACATGGCAGAAAGCTGATCCCTTTTCTGTGCCATGACCATGTTTTACTCATACCCCTGACTGCTTATCACACTGCAAGATAATTTACTTAATCTTTCACAGTAGGCTAAGAGCTTCTTAATTCAACATATTCAACCAAGTTTGACAATCATATAGTTAGCATTTGCTTTGTACTCTGAGGTCAGCTATTCATCTTTGAATCCCCAAAACATGAGTCACATGGTAGTATTCTTTAAATGTCTGATAATGAACATTCTGCCAAAGGAATGATAACAGCTCACATTAACTGAATGCCTATCATGTCCCAGGCAGGGTCCTGAAAGCTTTCATGTATTAACCCACCGAGTCCTCACAGAAATGAAGTAGGTACTCATTTTACAGATGAGGCAACTTGAACCAGAGTTCAAGGGCACAGGGCTGCTAAGACCCAAGATTCAAATCCAGACAGGCTCCTCTTTAGCTCATGAACATATGGCCTTCTGAATAAAGGCTGCAAGGGCAGAGACCATCAAGATGGTATTAATTGCCCGGTACACACAGTTCTTGATAAATACTAACTGGCTTATACCACTGATGGGATGTGGTGGGCACAGCCAATATCCAAATTCAGCTGCACAAGGAGAAAAACATGTTCAAAGGCCCATTTATCTCCATTGTGTCAAACTAGCCTGAACTAAGTAGCCATAAACAGAACTGGCCTCATGTCAACCACCTCTACCATCCTACAGGGGAACTCTCCCTTAATTTGTTGCTTCTAGACTTTCTTTTCCTCTTTTCTGGACTACTAAAAAAGTCAAGAACATGGCGGCAGAGAGATGGCTCAGTGATTAAGGTATTTGCTGTTCTTCCAGAGGACCTGGGTTCTGTTCCCAGCTTCATATAGCAGCTAACAACCATCATAACTCCAGTTCCAGAGGATCCAATGCCCTCTTCTGGCCTTCATGGACACTGCTTGCATATGATGCACTTATACATGCAAACAAAGCACTCAACATATAAAAATAATAAAGTCAAGCCGGGCATGGTGGCAAACACCTGTAGTCCCAGCAGAGGAGGCAGAGGCAGGCGGATCTCTGTGAGTTCAAGGCCAGCCTGGTCTACCAAGCATGCTACCCCAGGCCTTTAATCCCAGCACTCAGGAGGCAGAGGCAGGTGGATCTCTGTGAGCTGGAGGCCAGCCTGGTCTCCATAATGAATCCAGGCCAGCTGGGGCTACAGGGAGATCCTGTCTCAAAAAAAAAAAAAAAAAAAAGAAAAGAAAAAGTCAAAAACCACTTCTAGGATATGGTTGGCTATGAGAAGACAACCCTTTTACGGCCCTGTGGCCTCAGCACAGGTTGGGAAGGTAGCAAATACCTAAGACAAGCTGGAGTCATTTATAGAATTTCAGTTCTTCATTACTTCTCTCAGGAGTAACAATAAATGCATCAACACAGTTGTCAGCATTCTCCAGAGAATGAGAAAAAGGAAAGTGACAAGTAGATTGTTCTGATCTTGATATCTATCATATGAGGGGATGGGACTAAGAAAAAAGCTCAACTCTGTCCCATTCTGAAAGAAGACCATTTCACTTCGGGGTAAATTTAGGTCTGGAGGCTGCAAAAGTACAGAGAATATTCTTTCTTGGGAATTAGTTCACAACCACATTAAAAAATGTATAGTGGAGCCAGGCACGCCTTTAATCCCAGCACTCAAGAGGCAGGCGATCTCTGTGAGTTCAAGGCCAGCCTGGTCTACAGAGCAAGCTCCAGGCCAGCTGAGGCTACAGGGAGACCCTATCTCAAAAAGACAGAAAAAAAAAAAGTACACTGTATGTTAAAATATCCCCTAGGCTGTAAGGTTCTGCAGTGTGTTCTAAAGATACCCCAGTGGTTGCTTGCTGCATGGTAGCCCAGGTAGGATATGCACTTTGGGCCCAGAGGGCATTCATATGAAGCCTCTGCTGTCCCCTATCTCCCCCCCAACAGCTCTGACTGCTGCCCAGTCCCATTCAAACAGGGCTCTTTTGGGACACCATTCTTGCTTTTTCATTGGTATGGATGCTAACAAAATCCCAAGTAATAGCTCCGAAGGTGCAGAGACTCTTCCCCAAACAGACCAGAACTAAGTAAAAAAAAAAAAAATGATGAGGCTGGGTGTGGTGGCACAGCGAGTTCCAGGCCAGCTGGGGCTACAAAACGACTCAACAACGACTTAAACAAACAAACAAACTGATGAAAGACTGAGCATGCATTTATTGTTACTCCTGGGTGTCTGCTCCAATAGCCCAGGAGGCATGCAGACAGTCAGACCAAAGGTTGCTGTGGCCTTAATTCAGAGGGGAGGCAAGGATGTCTAGTTCTGTGTTTCCCCACCACCTCTTTGGAAACCCATATGCTTATAATTCTTAAACTGTGAACAGTCATCAGGGTTAAAGATGAAAGGATAGATCTGCTAAGGGCCTATGCAGAATTCCTAAACAAAATTACATACCATTTTGGTCTTCAGCACCACGCACTGAAAAGCAAAGAAAAATGACGTGTGAATAGGTGACAGTGTGATGGCACAAGGGAACATTCCCACCATCCTGCCGCCATTTCTGAACTTTATCCAGCTTTGTGCTGAGAACGGCTTGGCTGGGGTCTAGACTGATACTTGCCTAACTCACTCTGTGTGCTAAGAACTCATATGGAGCTCATGCTGGTGCATCTGATGAGAAAAGATCACTCCACTGGTCTACATGTCCACTAAGAGGACACTGCACACACAGTATCCTTTCCTTGCCTCTGAAGCCAGCATTGAAGTAAAAAAGAATGAAGAATCTACTTCAGTGAGCCAGAGATTCTAGATAAAGTTCCCACATATAGTCAATATTCTTGGCAGGAATGCTGGTGCATACCAATAATCAATCCTACTATTCAGGAGGCTAAGAAAGGAGGATGAGTTCCAGGCCATGTATGGAGACCCTGTCTTAGGGGAAAAAAAGCCAGACATGGTAGTGAACGCTTTTAATCTTAGCACTTGAGAAGCAGAGACAAGTGGATCTCTTTTGAGTTCTATGCCATCCAGGCTACATAATGACTGTCAAAAATGAAAACAATCTACTCCACAGATCTTTGCAACTTTAAAGAGGCTTTTGAGATAATCCCCAAAGGAAGACTGCAACTCATGAAAGGTCCCAAGTCTATAACCAGTGCATAGTTGGACTTCCCCTAACTGATGAATTTTAATTTGAGCTATTCAAATTTATTAGAGAGCCTGAAATCTTACTTTAACCATATTTCATCAAACAAGAAATCAAAAATTTTAGTAAGACCTAAATCAGTTGGTGATGAAGGGGAAGATGAGAATAAGATAAAATAAATTCAGGAAATTTCCAATTCCAAATGGCCAAAAAATGGGCTAGAGGTGTGGCTCAGTGACAGAATGTGGAAGACCCTGGGTTTGATACCCAGCACCAGGGGAAAGCACACAAGATGTTGCTATTAAGAGAGGGATACAGCTCAGTGGTAGCATGATTGCCTACCCAAACACCGCCAAAGGCACTTCTCTTCTGCAAGACTTTTCTGCCTTTAGTATAAAAATGCCTGGAGCCAGTTGTGGTGGCACATGCCTTTAATCCCAGCAAAGGCAGAGGCAGGCATATCTCAGTGAGACTGAGGCCAGCATGGTTTACATAATGAGTTCCAGGCCAGTGGGGGCTACAGGGAGACCCTGTCTCAAAAAAAAAAAAAAAAAAAAAAAAAAAAACCAACAAAACAAAGCAAACAAAGTCTCAATGAATCAGTAAGGAGAACATAGTAAAAAATACCCCCCCCGCCACCACAGACGCAGATGCTTTCCTAGGTACCTCCTAAAAATGACACCATGTCAAACTCTTTGGGAAATGAGCATAAAAGCTCAAGTGTAGGTAGAATAGATGTATTCTCCCACCACATGCTAAACTTCACTTTCCAGTCTTCTAATTGGATAGACTGAAGTTACTGTTGAGTATGGAATAGTAGTCAGATGGGAGGAAGGCCTTGGACTTAAGACCAGGAAATCCTCCGTTCAAAACTGGGCTCTCCAGGGAAAGGTGATACTGATGGTATTTGCCTGCATAGGCTGCTCTGAGGATTAAATTATATATTCAAGGCTTACTCTAGTCTAGGTACTTAAGGACAAGAAATGGCTATCAGATGGTACAGATGGCTGACTTCCTCTGAGGCTAAATACATAGGGACTGAATCAGTTTGATGCCATTGCATTTGGGGTAGCAGCAAACACTCCAGAGTTCTATGCAGCTGCCATACAGATAGCTCCTCACCCAGGTGCTGGAGTCCTTTCTGATCCTTGTACAGCCGGGTCACCCTCTCCATCAGCTCCCACTTCTCACAGCAGCCCTTGTAGTTGACGAAGTTGCGAGCCAGGATTTCTTTCAACTGCCGTACTGTCAAGCCTTCAATGTCTTCCAGGTGGGTCAGGTCAGACAGTGAGGCCCTCCGGCCCGGGACGAAGCTGTCCTCTGAGTCGATAGACTGTAATGGCAAAGATACAATTGGGGGCTCAAATTCTGTGTCCCCTAAGCTCTCTTTAAAAACCCCAGAGCACCCATCACAATGCACTTTGGTGACCAACCTCAAGAAAGTTGGAACAGAGAGTACCTGGAATAGTGCTTAGGACTGCAAAATAGACTTGTCTTTCCCTGCCCCACCATCCTGTGCTTTGTGCAGACATCCACAAATGCATCAGTGATGAGTACAAGGAGCACCAGTTAGTGGGAGGACCCGGATTCTGAATGGTGACCCTTCCACTGACTAAATGCTAAATATTACTTTGCAAGCTGCTTACCACACTGAGCCTATTACCCCTCCACAAAGGAGAGGCAGCTGTCTTCCCACACAGGGTTCTTGTGGAGATTACATGTGGTGGCACGTGAAACCCAGGCATGGTGGCTGGCCCTTCCTTTTCAGTGCAGACCTCCTTGGCTCACCATGGCTCCATGACCCTAAAGAACCATGCTTTGCACTGGTTCCTTGCCTGGCTGAGACCTGAAAGTCTCATCAACTGATCTTCTCTGAGAGTGGCTACTATATGCTAGATGCACAGGACAAGATTTTCACAGCAGCACCCAGACCTTGACCTCTGGTAGCTCTCAGAAACACTAAAGACGCCACTGCAGCTTTACATCTGCTTGCTCATACTGACAGTACCAAAGGTGAATTTGAAATGCTTCCACTTAAACTCCCCGAGAAGAGGACTTCAGGACTGTCATTACAGACTGACCCTTCTCATTCCACCCGAGTCTGCTCAGCCTCCTAGGAACGTTCCAAGAACACCAGAAAAAGAGTAAAGGTAAAGGTGCAGACCGAAGCAGAGGCCCCACCTGGGTCTCATCCTCAGCAAGTGCTCTGGCTGTGTTCTCCAGGTAGACGGGCTCCTCCTGGTCCTGAGACACATGGCCAGTGGCCTGTAGGAAGAGAAAGTGTGCCATCACATCCACAGAAATGTCCCAGAGACCTTTCAGCTCACACAATGTCCAAAACGGATTCCCATCTCCCCCAGAAATCAAGGATCCCACAGTAGCACCACAAATACCCACTTTCTAATAACAACTCTATCTGGTAGAGGGACAAGGCAGATTTTAACAGATAAAGCTGCATCAATAAGAGCGTACCAACTCTGCTTACCAGCAACAGTGGCCTTACCCAGTTTACTCTTAGCTAGGCAGGGTAAAAGCTATGGCCATCTCCATTGGTGACTGTTCTCTTCCTATCACCATGCTGTCTCTCAACACCGAGTCAAAACTGTGTCTCTTCAATCCCTACCCATTTCATTACCCCTCACTCTGCCCCTTGGGCCAATAGCCACTGGTTTTTCTAAACACCTTATCCCATGCCCTCCTTCACTGACTGGCCTCCTCAACTGACTTTGAGGGGACAGTTTCCAGACCCTCACCACCTAAAGTCCCTCTCTCTGCAGCTTCGTCACTGCTCTCACATTCTAGAAATGTGCTCTAACCAGAAGGACACAGTATGTCTAAGAGCTGAAACCTGCTCTAATGTTTTTTATGAACTTAAGAATCTATCAGCCAAAGACTGAAACACAACTGCCTCAGCTTGAGGGGATTCATTCTACTCAGGAGTCTAACTTCCCAAAAGGATTCACCTGAGTGCTTTGTCAGAGCAATCAGAACGGTGACTTCCTAACTCCATCCCCATTTCTGTCACAAACCCCCACCTAGCTCCTCTTCACCCCCAGCAAAGGGCCTGTATGGGTCCAAAGCAAGACTCACATGCCTTTCCCCCAGAACCTGGCTGAGCCAATCAAGGGACAACCTGGGAAACCAAAGTGACCTACTAACTCCAGCGACTCATCAAACAACTACAATGGCAATGAAAAGCAGAGATTACAACACCCCAAGTGATGACAAGAACACACACATATAGGGATGCATGTACGGTGTCTCCATCAGCCTCTGGGATGCTGTCTCCTTTGTGCTACCATGAGGTCTTCTGGAAGCTAACCTGTTCCTGAATATCCTTCGTTCTTTAGAGAGAAACTGGATTGCATGCTGTAAATACTCCTAGTTTGCCCACTGGATAAATCAAAATCTACAACTAGTCTCATCTGTCCGCTATTCTGCTTATTGCATACACTTCCCGTCCTTGGCAACTACTGCTAGGGTAGTAAAGGTGAAGGACAGAGCCCTGGTAGGGTAAACACTGTAAGATGTGCACTCTGACTACAGCTTGCTTATGGATTTAACACATAGCCTTGCCCAAGTTACTTAACTTCCCCAAGCCTGTTTTTCCTATTTGCAAAATTCAGGTGTTATAAGGACAGGAGAAACTGACACTAAAGTTCTCTAAAGTCTCAAAAAGTATCCAACAATAATAGGTCCATAATGTGACCTGTAGGTATGGTATGGAAACTTAGGGGGCTAGAGAAATGGCTTGGCAGTGAAGAGCACTGGCTGCTCTTGCAGAGGAGGCAAGTTTGGGTCCTAGAACCCACATGGTGGCTAACAATCATCTATAACTCCAGTTCCAGTGGATCTGACACCCTCTTCTGGCCACCATGGGCACTGTGCACACACAGTGCATTTCCATGCAGGCAAAACACTAATATAAATACATAAAAATACTTAGGGGCTAGAGAGATGGTCAGCAGTTAAGAACATTAGCTGTTCTTGCAGAAGACCCAGATTCAAATCCCAGCACCCATATGGCAGCTAACAATTATCCGTAACTCCAGTCCCAGAGGATCTGACAGCCTTTTCTGACCTCTGAGGGCATTGCATGACATGGGTGCACTTACCTACATGCAGGCAATACACTCATACACATAAAATTAAAAAAAAAATAAAATAAATTTTTTTAAAAAATCACTTTTAGCCCAGCATGGTGGTGTACGCCTTTAATCCCAGCACTTGGGAGGCAGAGGCAGGTGGATCTCTGTGAGTTCGAGGCCAGCCTGGTCTACATAGTGAGTTCCAGGCCAGCTGGGGCTACAGGGAAACCCTGTCTCAAAAAGACCACAAAAAAAAAAAAAAAAAAAAAAAAATCACTTTTAGTGACAAGAAGTTTATAATCTTTCATTGAACATGAAGGTTTGTTAATTCTCTTATTTATTAT